AAATAATGGCATTTGCAGGGAAATGGATGGAGCTAGAAGGAATCATGTTGAGCGAGGTAAGCCAAGAGCAAAGAGACAAATGGTGCATGGTCTCCCTGATAAGTGGATGCTAAATCCAAAATGTTAGGTGATATGACAAAATTAACAGGACTTAAGAAACAACTCCCACTCATCTGGTCGAACCACTACTAAATATCCCCATGCTGCTGATCACATGTATGGTGTATATGTGTACACCGTTATATGTTATAGACTGTGATAGACAATTTGCTCCAGGAAAGTTAGAATGAACTTGTGATTTTAAATGAGCACCATTATTCCACAATACTGTGAAATTTGGGAAATTATGTAATCACTTAATCACAATTAAAAAAAAGAATCTCGGGGAAGGTAGGGAGGGAAGGGATGGTAGGGGGAAAACAATGGAGGGGGTAACAATGCTCAATAGGAAGTGTACTCATTACCTTGCTCATGTACCTGTAACCCTCTGTATAGAATCTTTACAATAAAAAATTAAAAAATAAATGAAAAAAGACACTTTTAAAGCTATACTTTTTCAAAGGACTTAAGTATGTTAGATCCTTATTTCTCTACTTTTGCCAAATAATTAAAAAAAAACACACATTTCTTTTGTTCAGATATAGATGCCCTTGTAGGAGGAGAAGTTGGAGGTCTAGAGTTTGGCAAGTTACCATTTGGTGCCTGTGAAGATCCTATTAGGTGAGAACTTTAAGCTATCATTTAAAGGATTATTTTACTTTATAAGTTTAGATTAATTGTAATATTATCATACTTCTAATAACTGTTATTAGAATGAATGTAATAGTGGAAATAGAGAACTATACCTTGCTTTCTTTAAAGTTTTCTTATGAAAATATATGTCTGAGGTTGACAAACTGGCTTGTAGCTCAGTCTGCCCGGTAGTCTTACCATTGAATGTCCAGTGAGCTTAGAATTTCTTGTTTTACAATTTTAAGGAATATAAAAGAAAAAAAAGCAGAAGAATATAGTAGAGACTGTATATGGCTCAGAATGCCTAAAATACTTACTCTCTCGGCTTTTGTAGGAAAGTTTGCAATTTCTTCATCTGTACTGGAATCAACCAATCAACTTTTCCAGCCAACCAACCAACCTTCCTCTTCTCTCCCACACTTCCTTCCCTCCCTTTCCTTTTGTTCTGGGCTTCTAGCTATCATGCAACTTTTTCAACTCAGGGCAACTGTTAACAAAACTCCAGGTCTGGCTTTTTGCTGGCTAACCACAGATAGAGTCTTGCATTTTGCTTCTAAACCTCAATCCTCAGATCTCAGCTTCCTGAGTTGCTAGGGTTATAGGTGTGAGCTATTAATTCCCAGCAATTTTTCATTAAAAAGCTATTTTTGTTAGCATGTATTAATTGTAAAAAGTGAAGGGTCTTACTTTGATATTTCTGTACATACATACAATATACTAGGCTATTTAAACCTGTTATCCTTTCTCAATATCAACTTGCTTGAAAAAATTTTTAAATGGATTAATTTTATACATGCATGCAATTTACTTCTATCATATTCAGTCTTCCCCTTTTTCCCTGTCCCAGTTCCTGCTGGTCATCCCCCAGTAATTTTATGTTCATCTTTTTTTAATTATTCATCCTTTTTTTAATCAGAGTCCAAATATGAGAGGAAACACACAATATTTGTCTGAATCTGGCTTATTTCCCTTAATAGTTGCATCCATTTTTTAATGAACACCTAAGTTTGATTCCATAGGTTAGCCATTGTAACTAGTACTTCTGTAAACTTGAATGTGCAGATGTATGTTGACTTCAATTCCTTTGTGTATACATCCAAGAGTGATATAGAGGATCCTATGGTAATTCCAGTTTTAGTTCTGAGAAACCTTCATACTGATTTCCATAATGCCAGACTAGTTTATACTCATACCATTTGTGCATAAGGACTCCTTTTTCCCTGTATCCTCTTCAGCATTTGTTATTGTTTGTTTTCTTGATGATTATTATTCTGATAAGGTGAGATGGAATCTCAATCATTTGATTTAAATTCCCTTTGTGGCTAAAGATGTTGAACCTGTCTTCAATGTGTGCTTTTTAACTATTTGTACTTCTTTATCTGATAAATAGCCAGCAAAGATTTTCTACCATATTATAGACTATCATTTACTCTAGTAATTGTTTCCTTATATGTACAGCTTTTTAACTAGAGGAAATTCCATTTGTCAGTCTTGCTCCTATTTCCTGGGCAGTTTCAGAAAGTCATTGCCTATGCCTATATCTTGAAGTGCTTAGCTTCTTTTCCTATAATAGTTTGAAAGTTTCAGGTCTTATATTAAGGTCTTTGATCCATTTTGAATTGAGTTTTTAACAGGGTAAAAGACAAAACAAAATCAGTTTCACTCTTCTACTTTTTTTTTGGTCAGTCATGGGGCTTGAACTCTGGGATTGGGAGCTGTCCTCATGCATATTGCCACTTCTGGTTTTCTAGTGGTTTATTGGAGATAAGAGGCTCATAGACTTTCCTGCCCGGGCTGGCTTTGAACCGCCATCCTCAGATCTCAGCCTCCTGAGTAGCTAGGATTACAGGCAGGAGCCTCCGGTGCCCTGCTTATTCACTCTTTACTTTTGAATATCCAATTTTCCCAACACTATTTGTTGATGAAGCTGTCTTTTCTCCAGTGTATGTTTGTAGCATCGTAGTAGAAAATCAGATGGCTGTAATCACATGGGTTTATTTTCTGGGTTCTTTATTCTCTTTCCTTGGTCTTGTTTTGTGCCAATGCCATGGTGTTTTCATTACTATGGCTCCATAATATAATCAAGTCAGAAAGTGTGATAAATCTCGCATTGATCTTTTTGCTCAAGATTACTTTGGCTATTCAGTGTGCTTTCAGATGAATTTTAGGATTGTTTTTCCTAATATTGTGAAAAATGACATTTGGGTTTTGATGGAGATTGTATTAAGTCTCCAACTCACTAGCGATTTTTACAATAGTATTTCTTTCAATCTGTGAATGTGGTGGGAGTCTTTCCAACATGTAATATCTTCTTAAATTTCTTAAGTCTTTTATAGTTTTGGTATTTTGGTGTGTTTTCTTGGTCATGAGACTGGAACTCAGGGCCTGGCTTCTGTCCCTGAGCTCTTTTACCCAAGGCTCTACTACTTTGAGCTACAGCTCCACTTCTGGTTTTCTTGTGGTTAGTTAGAGATAATAGTCTCATGGACTTTCCTGCCGAGGCTGACCTTAAAACTGCAGGCCTCAGATCTCAGCCTTCTAAGTAGCTAGAATTGTAAGCATGAGCCACCAGCATCTGACAGAAATTATACATCATAGTTTTACTGGTGCTCAAAGCCAGGACCTTCTGCCTGTAAAGCAGATGCGATAATTGCTATACTATGGAACCAAGTGCTATTGTTTTTTGTTTTGTTTTGTTTTGTTTTTTTTGCGGGTTGTGGGCCTGAACTCTGGGCCTGGGTGCTATCTCTCAGCTCTTCAGCTCAGGGCAAGCACTCTACCACTTGAACCACAGTGCCACTTCCAGCTTTTTCCGCTTATGTGGTACTGAGGAATCCAACCCAGGGCCTCATGCATGCAAGGCAAACGCTCTACCATTGAACCACCTTCCAAGCCCTGCTATTGTTTTTATTATAGAAATCTTTCACCTCTACAGTGAAGTTTATTCGTAGGTAACATGTTTTTGAAGCTATTATAAATGAGATTGTTATTCTGATTCTTTTTTAGTATGTTTGGTATTACATAGAAAAGCTACTAACTTTTGTATTATGATTTTTTTCGAAAGTAAGATAAAATTAGTCTTTAATTAAAGTGGGGCTAGGAAGGTGGCTCAGTGGTAGAGCGCTTGCCTTGCATGCCTGAGGCCCTGGGTTCGATTCCCCAGCACCACATAAGCAAAAAGAAAAAAGCCGGAAGTGGTGCTGTGGCTCAAGTGCTAAAGCGCTAGCCTTGAGCTGAAGAGCTGAGGACAGTGCCCAGGCCCAGAGTTCAGGCCCCATGACTGGACCCCCCCAAAAAAAAGTAATTAAAGTATATGGTTCCATGGTTTCTATATTTATAGAGCTATGCTACCATCATTACTGTTTAACTCAGAACAAAGAAAAAAGATGTACTTTGCCTTTCCGAAACCTCCTTCATAGCCTCTTCAGTTCTGGGCAGACACTAGTCTATTCTTTGTTCTTATTTGTAGCCTACTCTGAGCATTGGCTTTTAATTATAGAGTTCTTGAAGTTCATCTATTTTGTTACATGAATTAATGCTTTATTGTTTTATAGTTGTAAATTGCCACTGTATATATATTACTGTAGAGTACATTTGCTTATTCAGCTATCAGTGAACGTTTGGGTTATTCTTTTGGGTTATTGTGTACAGTATGAGTTTTTGTATCTGTAAAACATTAACTTCATTATGGATATGTGGCCATTTGCTAAATGAACTATTTTCAGCTTAACACCACTTTTTTTTTTTTTTTGGGTCCGGTCGTGGGCCTGAACTCTGGGCCTGGGCCCTGTCCCTCAGCTCTTCAGCTCAAGGCTAGCACTCTACCACTTGAGCCACAGCTCCATTTCCGGCTTTTTTTTTCTGCTTATGTGGTGCTGAGGAATCGCACCCAAGGCCTTATGCATGCAAGGCAAGCGCTCTAACACTGAGCCACCTTCCCAGCCCCTTAACACCACTTTTAACACACATGTATGTACATCTTGGGTTAGTAGAATGCATTTCTAGAAACAGAATTGCTGAATCAGAGGAATATGTTCATTTTTATTAAAGCTTTTGGATACATGTTTTGTTTATTTTTAGTGAACTCCATTTAGCAACTACATGGCCTCATCTGGCTGAAGGAATCATTGTGGATAATGATGTTTATTCGTAAGTATGATAAAAATATAGAATATAGACTAATACGTAGACTAAAAGTATGTATAAATAAAAATACGTAGAGTTAATTACCAAATGGTTAGCAATTTTCATTTTTTTGCTTATGTCAGTCTCTTAATATTATAGCTTTGTGTGTATGTGTGGGCACATGTGCTTACATGCTATTCCTGGGGCTTGAATTCAGAGTCTAGTCACAATCCCTGAGCTTTTATTTTATTTCTCAAGGCTACTTGAGCCATAGATCCACTTCTGGCTTTTAGGTAGTTAATTGGAGATAGAGTCTCACAGATTTTACTGCCTGGGTGGCTTCATACTACAATCCCCAGATCTCAGCTAGAATTATACACTGGTACCCTACAGTTTGTTTTTTTTTAAGGTTTTAATTAATTAACTTATTTTGTGCCAGTTCTGGGGCTTAAACTCATGGCCTGGGTACTGTCACTGAGCTCAAGGCTAGCATACTACCACCTGATCCACAGTTTCATTTCTAGCTTTCTGGTGGTTAATTGGAGAGAAGAGAATCATGGATTTTTCCTGTCTAGGCTAGCTTCAAACTTCAGTCCTCCATTTCAGCCTCCCGAGTAGCTAGGATTATAGGCATGAGCTACCAGTGCCCAGCAGTTTTTTGTTTGTTTGTTTGTTTTTGTGGGATTTTTGTTGTTGGGATTTTTGGTTTGGGTTGGCTGTGGGGTTTGAACTTAGGGCCCTGGATGCTGTTCCTGAGCTCTTGTGCTCAATGCTAGCACTCTATGACTCTGAATCACAGTGCTACTTCCAGTTTTCTGGTGGTTAACTGGCGATAAGAATATAACAGACTTTCCTGCCCAGGCTGGCTTTGAACCTCAAACCTCAGATCTCAGCCTCCTGAGTAGCCAGGATTATAGGTATGAGCCACCGGCACCCAGCTTGGTTTGTATTTTTTAAGGTTTAAATTTAGATAGCAATTTACTGTATTCTCTTAAAGTGTTATTTTAGATCTCTTCTGCTAACCAGAATAGATCTTTATTATTCTTATTGTGCATAATATGCCATTTAGTTGGCTTCACCCTAATGTACTCAGTTGAAAGACAGGATACTTTTGATCTTGTGAACATTTTTGTGCTCTTTTTTTATTATTAATACTGGCTTTACAAATAGGTTAAGACTATTACATAATTACTTGTTTATCGTTTCTTTAATATTCTTTTAAAAATGTTTATGGGCCAGGTGCTGGTGGCTCATATCTGTAATCCAAGCTACTCAGAAGGCTGAGATCTGAGGATTGTGCTTCAAAGCCAGCCTGTGAAGGAAAGTCTTGGAGATTCTTATCTCTTAACCCCAGAAAACTGGAAGTGGAGCTGTGGCTCAAAGTGATAAAGAGCTAGCCCTGGGAAAAAGAGCTCAAGGACAGTGTCTAGCCCTGAGTTCCAGCCCCATAACCACCACCACCACTACCAGCAACAAAAAGGGTTGTTCAGAATCATTGTTATGTTCTTGATATTTTGTTTTGATTTTATTATTTTATGGGTTTTTTTGTCTTGATTTTGATAGATTGTATTTTTAAAGAAAACATACTCAAATGGCCATATGGATAACTAAGTTGAAGAGAAGCAAAATGGATTGCTTTTCTATCTACAGTTCTTTTCAGTAGGCTGCATTGTTTTTATTTCCTTTTTTCTTTTTTTTGAGATAGTATCTCAATAATATAGTTCATGTTGTCCTTAGGTTCATAGTCCTTCTGCCTTAGCCTCCTTAGTGCTAGGATGATGGTTGTGTGCTGCCATTCTTAGCTTTCATAAGGCTGCATTTGGTAAGTTTGTGAACCTTTGTCATAATGAATGCCTTTATTGTATTTTAGTGATTTGGATCCAATTCAGGCTCCTCATTGGTCTGTTAGAGTTCGAAAAGCTGATAATCCCCAGTGTTTGCTAGGTAAGACATATTATGTTCCTTTTCTGAAATACCACTAACCTTCCTGCCTGTCTTCCAAATTTGGTATACTAAATACATTCCTTTTTTTTGGGGGGGGGGCAGTCCTGGGGCTTGAACTCAGGGCCGGGGTACTGTCCCTGAGCTTCTTTGGCTCAAGGCCAGCACTCTACCACAGCACTACTTCCAGCTGTTTCTGTTTATGTGGTCTTGTGGAATTGAACCCAGGGCTTCCTATATGGTAGGCAAGCACTCTACCACTAAGCCACACTCCCAGTCCTCCCCCTCTCCACCTTTTTTTTTTTTTTTGCCAGCCCTAGGGCTTGAACTCTGGGCCTAGTGCTGTCCCTGTTTTGTTTCTGTTTTCTTTTTGCTCAACACTACCACTCTACCACCATTTCCAGCTTTTAGGGGTAATTAATGTGAGATAAGAATCTTATGGACTCTCCTGCCTGTCTGGCTTCAAACTGCAATCTTCAGAGCTCAGCCTCCTAAGTAGCTAGGATTATAGATGTGAACCACTGTGCTTGGATGCTCATTCTTTTTTTTTTTTTTAAAGTTGGTCATGGGGCTTGAACTCTGGGCCTGGGTGCTGTCCCTACCAATTGAACCAAAGTACCACTTCCAGTTTTCTGGTGGTTTATTGGAGATAAGAGTCTCATGGACGTTCCTGCCCGGACTGGCTTTGAATTGCGATTCTCAGCCCTCAGCCTCCTAAATAGCTAGGATTACAGGCGTGAGCCATTGGCGCCTGGCTTGGATGCATTCTTTATACTTACCTATCCAAGTTTTTTGTTGTTGTTTTGTTTTTTACATTTATAATCTCTTTATATTACTGCCACATAGATAAAAGAGTAATTAGCAATAACAGTGAATCCTTTTTTATTTTTATTTTTTTTCTTTTTGGGTCCGGTTGTGGGGCCTGAACTCTGGGCCTGGGCACTGTCCCTCAGCTCTTCAGCTCAAGGCTAGCGCTCTACCACTTCAGCCACAGCGCCACTTCCGGCTTTTTTCATTTTACTTATGTGGTGCTGAGGAATTGAACCCAGGGCCTCAGGTATGCAAGGCAAGCACTCTACCACTGAGCCATCTTCCCAGCCCCAGTGAATCCTTTTTTAATACCACTTGTGAGTTTCTTTTTTGCCATTCAGTTTAGATCAATTGACCTTCAAAATTTATTACTTTCACAGTTTTATTCTTTTTTAAAATACATATTTTTTATTACAGTTACATGAGTAAGATAATGAGTATATTCCCTATCCAGCATTGTTGTTATCCCTACTTCTTTGTTTTTCTCCTACTGTCCCTTCCCTCCCTACCTCCTGAACTCCTCCACCTCCCCACCCCCATGGTTTTGTTTTATTCTTATTTGCATGTTACTCCCTTTCCTTTCTCTTATGGCACAGGCTGTATTACTTTAGTTAGTGGAACCTTTTTTACTTTTTGTTCTTCCTCTGGAATGTGGCTTGTGATAGCAACAAATCAGTAATATGTTAGAGTTGTACCACATTTGCAAACCTGTTTTTCTTTATGGGAAAAGATGTATATACTTTATATATCTGATAGTTATTTGAAGAGTTAAATGAAATAATTTTAAGTACTATTAACATTTCATTTCTGGGATGTTTTCCCCTTTTTTAAATAGGTATATCTCTAGTAAGCTTTCTCAACCTCTCACCTAAGTGTATTTTTCCCTACTTGCCCTTCATATTTAGTGCACATGAAAATGTTTTATCTATGGCTTCTAGTTGGTCAGGATATTTTTGTTCCTTCCAACTCATATATTATCATTATGAAGTTAATAAATATTAGTGACAATAATTTTGTATTTTTCTAATGTTTATTTTTAGCTTTTTATCATTTATCATAGGTTATTTATCAAATGTTAGTTAGCAGTTGGCATTTACAGGACCTAATACTGAAGGAGTTCTGCCTTCGATGAATTTAAGCCTTAGGGAAATGGTACAGGGTTGATGACAAGAGATCAGTGTTGAGCAAATTGTGGTTCATACCATAAATCCGCCAGTTTGAGTAAGTTTCTCAATTTCTTTAAATTTCAATATCAGTAAAATAGGTAACAATACTATGTAACTCCCCAGGCTTATGAGGGAAATAAATGAAATTGTGTACTTCTATGTACTTAACCTTGTGCCCATCCTGCATGACTGCACATAAATATTTTTTTTAATCTTTGAGTTATTACTGTAACTTGGCTTTACTAAATTGTTCCCTCACATTTTATTATTCCTCATGTACTGACTTTTGTGATAATTGCAGAACATTATAAAGTTGAAAACATTCTCATTTTCAATTACCGTTCCATGACATTACCCTACCTCTTTGTCTAGTTTTCATGACTGGATTATGAAGTTTTTTAACCTGTTTGTTTAGAGCTAGTTGATAAATTCTACAATTCAGATGTATACAGTATGAAATTCTACAATTCAGATGTATACAGTATGTTATAGTACTAAATGTAACATACTGTATACATCTGAATTGTAGAATTTATCAACTACCTCTAAACAAACAGTACTACATAGTATAGTACTAAATGTAACAAACTGTATACATCTGAATAGTGCTAAATGTAACATACTGTATACATCTGAATTGTAGAATTTATCACTAAATGTATTAAGCCATAATTGCCACCATAGCTTTTGCAGTTCTTTTTTTTTTTGTGAACACACTGTACAGAGGGGTTACAATTACATGGGCAGGATAATGCGTACATTTCTTATCAAGCATTGCAGCCTCCTCCTTTGTTTACCCTTCACATCCCTTCCAGAGGAAATAAACCCTTTTCCCTCTTCTTACAATGACAAACCATGCCATTAATAGGCAGCAGAGATGGGATGGGGAAAGATGGGTGAGAACAGTGGAGGGGGTGACTTGATTAAGATACATTGTGCTCATAACCTGACTTGTGGAATTGAGACTCCTTAGTATGCTCCTTTAAAAAATACAGTGCCTTATACACACAAAAAAATGCAACAGAAGTTGGAATTTATCCTACGTGATTTTTTAATCCTTTTGAAACATATCTTTAGAGTTTCTTTTTAATCTATGTCTCTTAATGGATTCAGAATCCTTGTAGGTTGTCAGGGAAAGAAGACTGTAACTTAAACATACTGGTCTCATTGAAACATGTAAAAAAATACATAATATTATGTGATATAATTTTTCCTCTTTCTAGAGGTAATCCTAGGGAAAATTATATTAATATCCCAGAATATGGAGAGATAGGAAAAGAAGACTACTTTTGAAATAAAATTATTTTTTGTCTTTTTCAGGGGAATAATGGAATGGATTTTTTCCTATCATATCTTAGTAATAGCTTTCATGGAAAGGACATGTACTTTAATTTACATATAATTTAATTTATAGTATAACATCAAAAATGATAACTTTTTTTCTATGTAGGTGATTTTATCACTGAATTTTTAAAAATTTGCCGTCGAAAGGAATCAACTGACGAGATTCTTGGACGATCCACATTCGAGGAGGAAAGTAGAGGTGACTTTTTCTTTTTTAACACTACTTTCAAGTGTTTTACCCTTTTTCTTTGGCACACTTTCTGAAAACTTCTGTATTTTTTTCATTTTGAATTGAATTAGAGAAGCAAGTTTTGATAAAGTAGCTGTCATTTCAGACTATGCTCAGAGGTTTTAAGACACTAAGTATATTTATTAAGTTCTTTCTATGCAAAAGATATTTTGAAAAGCAGAGTCTTAAAGGCTGAATTTTGATGCTCTGAAAGGAGAAATAATTTGTGTGATACCTTTATTACTCATTCATGCATACAAGCTGAACACATAGCTTAAAATTTTATAATTCTGGGACCATGTGCGACTAATGAAAAGGACTACATATTCTATTCTGTCATCAGTTTACTCATTACTTTAACCTACTAATATTGGTAATATAATTAGTATTCATTTCTACACTTCTTATAGATATTGCTGATATAACTCATGCTTTGTCAAAGTTGACAGAGCCAGCACCAGTTCCAATTCATAAATTATCAGTTTCAAATATGGTACACACTGCAAAGAAGAAAATACGAAAACACAGAGGTGCAGAAGAGTCACCATTGAATAATGATGTCCTCAATACTATTCTCTTGGTAACTAAATCTCTTATTTTTATATATGTATATAGAATTTATGTAAAATATATTGTTTTATATGGCAAGCACTGGATTGAGAATATAAAGGGATATATTCTATATTTAGAGAATTCTCAGTAGTCAGCATGAAGAAGGAAAGTAAGTAATAGTTACACTCTCATGTCACATGTGAGAACTACTATGAGTTGCACTCAGGGCCTGGGCACTGTCTAAGCTTTGTTTGCTCAAGGCTAGCATTCTATCATTTGAGCCATAGATCTACTTCTCGCTTTTTGCTGGTTAATTGGAAATAAGAGTCTCATGGATTTTCCTGTTTGGTCTGGCTTTGAATTGCAATTCTCGGATCTCAACCTCCTTGAGTAGCTAGGATTACAAGTATGAACGACTTGTGACTGGCTATGTTTAATTTTTTTTAACCCACCTACTAACACAAACACATACCATGGAATATACAGAAATATATGAAACAAATACATTGGTTATTACAGGTTAGGGCATTACTTATTTTTTTAGGGCTACCTCATTAAAATAAAGACCCAAGTCTTTAATATCAGACCTTTTTTATTTATGGAAACATTTATGTAAGTACAAATAAAAGTATGGTTTCTTATGAATAAATAGGTGTCTTCAAATTGTCTTTTACAGTTTTGCCTCTAACAATGTTAACCTTTTAAAAAATTTAAAAACATTCAATGAGGAAGAAATATCACAGTGAAGAGATATAGCTCACCGAATCCAGGTGGTTTATGAAAAATTTATGGTTTCTCAGATTGACTAATCACAGAAGTCTTACATATTTTAAGAAAAATATTTTTTAAATTGAGAGACTATAGAACCAACTGGCCAGTAAATAAGAACATTCCCATTGTTTTAACAGCAAACATTCAGACATCATATAGTGTCTACATGATTTCTAAAAATCAAAATAAGTGTGGTTTAAATATGTGTGTTTCTTTTTCCTTTCAAGTTTTTATTCCCTGATGCTGCTTCTGAGAAACCGTTAGATGGAACTACTGCAGACAATAGTAATCCTCCATCAGAGAGTGAGGATTATGTAAGTTCATGTGCAGTATTAAACTGTCTTAGATACATTAAATTTCTAGAGATTGGTTGTATTTATAAATACCTTTTTACTTTTAAAAATCATCTTTGGAAAATTGAGTGGAGATCATGGTATCCTACAGATACTGTACTCTAATAGAACTTTAGCATTAGGTAACTATTTTGGATAGCAAGAATTCAAGAAATAGCAAAAATATACTCTGCAAAGCTAAAATCATTAAGTTTGTTTTGAAGTAAGTTTTATGTGTATTTCAGAACTAGACTGATTATAAAACTTTAATGAAGTATATAAAGTAAAATTTACATTCTCACTATCACATTTGGAATGAAAGCATTTAAATGACAGCTATAGACATAAACTGTTCTCAATAGGTTTGTTAAACAGTAAATTTCCAAAAAGGAAGGGGAAAAACAAGCTTTTCACATTTGCAGCTTATATAGTTATAGTTTGTTTTGTTTTGACAGTGTATTCATTTTATAAGGGAAAAGATTTTGAAAACGTGAAATTTGAAGTACATCTTAAAGACTGCATAGAAGAAAATGACAGCTATAATTTTTATTTAAACTGTACCTTTACTGTTTTTAATCTCCTTAGAAAAAATAGATCTCCCTATGAACAATTACTGTATTAAATATTCGAAAAGAGCTAGTTTACATAGGATAGATTAATTTTTATAAGATTTATGCACTTGGATTTTGCATATAAATATGTTAACAAGTTTTGCCTTCTCATTTATTAAATTTAGAATCTCTACAATCAGTTTAAATCAGCACCATCTGATAGTTTAACATACAAACTGGCTTTGTGTCTTTGTATGATCAATTTCTACCATGGAGGGTTAAAAGGAGTGGCACATCTCTGGCAGGAGTTTGTTCTTGAAATGCGCTTCAGATGGGAAAACAACTTTCTGATTCCAGGGTAATAATTTTAATTTCCAGTTGTTTATGTAGAATTTTTATTTGTTAGCTAACATTTGACTTTTGACTCATTGACTTCCCCTTCTAGAAACTTTTTCTTAAAATATTGGCACAAAATTAGCCAGCCTCTGGTGGCTCACAGTTATAATCCTAACTACTTAGGAGGCTGAGATCTGAGGATCATGTTCAAAGTTAGCCTGGATAGGAAAGTCTGTAAGACTCTTACCTCCAATTAACCACTAAAAAGCTGGAAGTGGAACTGTAATTTAAGAGGTAGAGTGCTAGCCTGAGCCAAAAAACTTCAGGGATAGTGCCTAAGCCCTGGGTTCAAGCCCTAGGACTGGCTCCCGTGCACACACGCACATACCTCTCCCTTCCCACACACAAATTGGCAAGAAATTTGAACAAAATTTATATTTAGAGGTGTTCACTAGAGCAAATGTATAATAGAGGGAAAAGTGCAAAACAGCCTAAATATCAACAAAGTAATTATTCTTTCTACAATGGAAATATATTGATTATAATACATTTTGTTTCAAGTATCTTTAATATCAAAGATAGTTATGGCATTGAATATATAGACTTCATTTGATGATACTGCTTTATATGTATAGCAAAAAGATTGGAAAGTAATACAGCCAAATGTTAATTTTTTTCAAGTATGAAATTACATTTTTACTTAGTCTTTATACCTCTGTGTGTTTTTTAAATCTTTTGTAATGAACATATTTTGTTATTGGAAGAAAACTCTCTTTAGAATACATTATAAGTTTAGGCATTAAGTATTACCTGTAATTTCTTTGGCATCATTTATATTGGAATTTTTCTTAATGAAATAGAATATTTTAGTTAGCATGTAAGTTCAGAACTGGGTAACTTTGTGTTTATCTATCATGCTGAGGGAGAAGAATGATATGAATGACAATTGACTAAAACATGTTTATTATTTCATTTATTAGTCTCTATTTAGCTAGGTTCTCTCTTGGTTCTGTTTTGCTCTGGAACTTAGTTTTGTTTTCTTATAATTTTATAGGTTAGCAAGTGGATCACCAGATTTAAGATGTTGCTTATTGCATCAAAAATTACAGGTAAATGTTTCATAATAGCAGTTTATAAATATATAAGTGGTCTTGATATAATCAGAATTTATTCAAATGCGAATAATGGCTTTTAATGTTTTTTTAAAATTTTATTTTTGTCAGTCATGGAGCTTGAAGTCAGGGCCTAAGCACTCTCCTTGAGTTTTTGAACTCAGGGATAACACTATACCACTTTGAGCCACTTGCAGTTTTCTGGTAGTTAAAGATGAGTCTCATTGACTTTCAAGCCTGACCTGGCTTCATATAGATTATAGGTGTGAGCCATCAGTACCTGGCCATGCTTTTAGTCCTTTTGTTGTTATAGATTGTTTATGGGCATAGCAAAATCCTGAAAAATATTCCAACAGTGGCTAGGTTTTTCTATTTTTTCCCCACTATTAATATGATTTCTGTTTTCTTAAGATGTTAAATTGTTGTATTGAAAGAAAGAAGGCACGTGATGAGGGGAAAATGACAAGTTCTTCAGATAATACATACCCAGGGGATACTGGAAAAGCTGGAGTACAGTTGGGACCTGATCATCTCAAAGATACAGATAAGGAAAAGGGAGAGGTGGGAAAATCTTGGGATTCTTGGAGTGACAGTGAAGAAGAATTTTTTGAATGCCTGAGTGATACTGAAGAATTTAAAGGAAATGGACAAGAGAGTGGCAAGAAAGGAGGACCCAAGGAAATGGCAAACTTAAAGCCAGAAGGACGGCTCTATCAGCATGGAAAACTTACATTGCTACATAATGGAGAACCTCTTTACATTCCAGTAACTCAGGTAAGATGTGCCAATTTTGTTGTTGTTGTTTTTGTTTATATAACTTAATCCTAGTAGATAATTGGTTTGGAAGATAAATTCTTTTTAAAAGATTTGTTTTAAGATTAAGATTTGATTTAGATAAGTTGATGTTAGGGAAATGAGCCCTAAGATATGTATTCAAGTGTTTTTTTCTTTCATGCGATTGTTTCTAACACATTTATAAGATGATTTCTTTGTTGCTTGGTATGACCCTCCCCCACGGTATAACCCCTGCTTTCACTGTTTTGAGGTTGGTATAATTTGGAGGGGAAGGGAAAAAACAAATCGTTTAAATAGGGATACAGGTGGACCCATTGCAACAATGAGATGTACAAGTTGTTATATCGAAAACGAACTTTACAACTTTGGTG